TCAGGTACCCAGGATTCCAAAACAAGAGACTTTACCCACTGAGTTGTCTCATTGATCCTTGGTAAATACTTTAGTAATTTATCCCTTAATGAGAAAACTGTTAGAAAAATGTTTCTGTGTGTGCTTGTGTTTTCTTAAGATTGAAGCAAAGGCCTAGAGCTTGCTGTGCAGGTTCCTTTATAGGGACCATGCCCCTACTCCTAAAAATTGATACATAGATATTTTTATATTAAATATATATTAAATAAATTAATTACAAATATTTTTAATTCTTCATGTAACCCAAATGTATTGTCTTTGCTTTTCATACAGCTCTGGATGATAGAAAAGCTTTATAAGCTAAAACAAATTTCAGGAGAAACCATAAATCAAAATTTATAAAGATTAGCCGGGCATTGGTGGCGCACGCCTTTAATCCCAGCACTCGGGAGGCAGAGGCAGGTGGATCTCTGTGAGTTCGAGGCCAGCCTGGTCTACAGAGCGAGTTCCAGGACAGCCTCCAAAGCCACAGAGAAACCCTGTCTCGAAAAACCAAAAAAAAAATTTATAAAGATTAGATTAGAAGCCTCCCCAAAGTTAGGATTGAGGAAGAGTTTTGTTTCTGTCTTTTCTTGAAAACAAAGACAACCATCTTGAAGAATTTAAGATCTTTGGACAAATAAACATCCAAAGAAGAAGGGAGAACAACCTGGAAAAAAATTACCAAGAAAAGAAATAATCTGACCTAATGTGATCTCTGAAGTCTCCAAAAAAGAAGATGGAATCCCAGCTGGGTGGTGGTAGAGCACACCTTTAATCCCACCACTTTGGAGGCAGAGGCAGGCTGATCTCAGTGGATCTGAGGTCAGCCTGATCTACAAAGCGAGTTTCAAGACTGTTAAAACAGAGAAACCCTGTCTCAAAAAACAAACCAAACAAACAAAAGAAAAACAAAGAAAGAAAGAAAATGGAATCCTACAACAATTTCACCAGGACTATGACAATACCATTAACATGAACAACTCCAGCTAAAGATCAACTTTGGACTGCAAAGTATTCAGAACAATTTCAGGGAGGCTAGCTAAGATGATTCAGCCTCACAGACTACTCAAGCCAGGACTTGAGACAAGCCCTGCACTTTCCCATTATGTAGAGACTGAACAAAAATGATACAGCTTGACAGATAACCCAAATTTTTCTGTTCAGGATCCCCTAAAGATGCCGTCATCCCCAGACAGCAGGACATAACCTTAAGAACACAATGCCCACATTTCCAAGAGGTGGGGTGGGTGGTTTTTGGTCACTCTTTGGCTTATGGATATTTGTCATTGTTTAGGAGGATTGGTCACAAAATGCTGTTGGTTACGGTCAGGAAGAAAGTTGATTCTAGATTTTTGTCTTTTATAAAAAAAGACTACAGATATGATAGGATAAAAAGGGTAGATTATTGAATCTACTCTGAAAAGAAAAAAGAGAGGATATAGACATAAGATGAAAAGGTAGATTATTGAATCTACTTTTAAAAAGCAACTACTAGTTTTAAATATCTTACATTGATTTGGATTTTGTATAGTGTATACCAGTTCTGAATACTGATACAAATTTGAGATTAATTTGGTTAAACATACCGTACATATGTTTCTAATCTTGTTCAAGGTATTTTACCTATACAGCCCATTTAACAATGTAATGCAAATTTCTAGTTCTTACAAGTTATTATTACCAACTACATGGGGATAATAATAAGGAAATGCAGGTTAGTAATTAGTGACCTATTACAATCAAACTTGTAGTTATATTAGGCATGTTATCAAGGTCAAACACATATATTTTAGATAGGTCATCTTCACACACTTCAGAGATTTACAGAATATGGCATTAAAGATGTTTTAATAACATAGGTTCTTTTCTTTTTTATGACAATGAGACATGTCTACTCCTGGCAGTACCAATCTATTTCAGAGAAGATGATGAGGATCTAAGAAATTCCACATGGAGTTTACTTTCTCTGTGGCAAAAGTTGGCCACTGGGCAAGAAAGTGCCGTTGCCTCAACTGCTAACAGTATGCTGTCCAAAATGGACAAACAGGACACAAAGAGAGTGACTACAAACTTTGCCACGACAAGGAGGGACAGTCCTTCAGAAAATCATGTTTCACAAAAAAAAAAAAATCTGTTAGATATGCTAGGGCTGTAGGCTGAAGAGGGATGCCCCAACACTGCAGAAGAACCTTGGGTGGCTGTCCAGGCAGCCAGCTGTTTCTGTCATTTCTCACATTTTGGGGAAATTGCTTGCTTGGGCTTCCTGTTTACTCAATATTATTTCCTTCCCAGGTCTCTAAGGAAGTTTAAGACTAAATGGCTATAGTTTTCCTTGTTTACCAGACTCAGAAAGGAAACTCACTAAAGAAATATAGAGTACATAAAGTTGAGAAACATAAAAAGATAATTTGATAATGCAAATTAGAATAGAAAATAAATTAGGTACAAGACTTTGGACTCATCAAGATAGAATAGATAACGGAATATTTTCTTTAAATTTGTTAAATGCAAATGGAATAGACACTGTTGAAGAACTTATTACTTATATATATTGGATGTACTTACTGTGTGTATTTTTTCTTATGTTAGTTATAGCTGCCTTCTTTTTTGTACTAGACAAAAAAGGGGAATTGTGGTGATATATTATTTATGATTGCCTGAAGTATCAGAAAGCAAAGCCAGCCACACTAGTTAGAAGCTAGGCACTTGTGGCACACACCTTTAATCCCAGGACTCAGAAAACAGGCAGATGGATCTCTGAGTTCAAGGCCACTCTGGTCTACACAAGAGTGAAGAGTAACAGAGCTCACGCCTTTGATCCCAGCACTGGGGATGTGGAGAAAGGAGGATATGGTTGGTCAGAAGAAAGGAATATAAGGAGGAGGAGACAGGAATTCAGAGCTTTTGCCTCTGAGGATTCCTGGAGACAGGATTGCCATTTCAGCTTGGTAGAGGTAGACCTACTGGCTTGGCCGCTTTGTTTCTCTGATCTTCGGCTTGAAGCTTGAACCCAATATCTGACTCTGGGTTTTTATTATTCATGTTACATATTTATTATTTACATTACATAAAGAGGAACAAAAGAAGCCTACGCCAGGGAAGACTAAGGTCTGGATGCAGATCTGACGCCGAGAAGGGAGTGAGTGGGAAGGAAGGAAGCTGAAGTTGGAAGAGCCGCAGGCAGCAGGGCAGAAGCATGGGCTACACTCACAGGAAGCCTGAGAATTCAGATCTGATGGGGAGGCAAGTTCCACCTGCTAGTTTTCTTCACTGATTGTTGCATTTCCTGCCTAAAACCTAGAAGGGGCTGTGACTGTCATCCTCATCCCACAGGGGAAGAATCTAAGGCTAGTTAAATACTGTGTCCCAAATCCATCAGACACAAGATTAGGGCCTGGCCAATAGGTATTGATAGAAAGCACTTGGACCATGGAGTCTAAACCTTATGCCTGTTTCCAGTTTTTTAATCACATGAACAATCCTCATTTCCCCTTGTTATTGATAAGGCCAGGACCTAAGCCATGACAGTGAGGTGGGCATCACTTAGACCACGGAGTCCAAACCTTAGACTTGACATGTTTCAGTTTTTCTGATCACATGCAGGCTTTCCCTTTTCACCCAAGTGCTTTTGTACAGGTGTGCAAATGCAGGTCTTGATGGTCAATGCCACTATCTTCCTCAGTTGGTTCATCACCTAATTGTGTGTGTGTGTGATATATACATGTGTGTGGCTGTGCTATGCACATGTGAGTGTATGTTCCCACACACACACATGCACAAGTGTTGGCCACATGAAGGGGGGGTGTATTTGGGGCTGAAGGACAGCAGGAATGGCGGGACAGGAACCTCATCTTTAGCCACATGTTAAAGCTGAGGATCATTTCCTTTTTATTTTTTCAACATGTTGATTTATTTTGTGTGTTGGACCAAGCAAGCTTGTGCCACATGTACATATGGTCAGGCATCAACTTGTGGCAGCTGGTTCTCTCCTTCCACCATGTGAGCCTGGGGATTACACTCATAGCCTAAGGCTTGGTGGCAGTGCCTTGCCCTACTGAATCATCTTGCCAGCTCAGCTATTTTTATAGACAGGTTCCTCTCACTGAACCTAGACTCCACAGACTCAGATAGCTTGGTTAGCCAGTATACCCCAGAAATCCTCCTGTCTCAGCTTCCCTGATGCTGGGAATACAAGCATATTGCTTGTCCGGCTTTTTTTATGGAGCATTGGAGACTGAGTTCTGGTTCTCACGCTTGCAGGGCAAGCAAACTCTTCACTGACTAAATCATCTCCCTATCCCCTCACTGATTTGGTTCATGTCTATGTGGCAGATGAAGAATCTAGTTACTGGCCACTACCTAGGGCAACAAGAAACTTCTTTTAAAACTCTTAGAACTGCCGGGCGTTGGTGGCTCACGCCTTTAATCCCAGCACTCGGGAGGCAGAGGCAGGCGGATCTCTGTGAGTTCGAGGCCAGCCTGGTCTACAAAGTGAGTTCCAGGACAGCCTCCAAAGCCACAGAGAAACCCTGTCTCGAAAAAAACAAACAAACAAAAAAAAAAAAACAACAACAACAAAAAAAAAAAACTCTTAGAACGCCTTTACACCCAACACTCATGAGGCAGAGGATTTCTGTGAGTTCCAGGCCAGCCTAGTGTACAAGAGCTAGCTCCAGGCCTGCTAAGGCTACACAAAGAAACGCTGTCTCAAAAGACCAGAGACCACACACACACACACACACACACACACACCCCTAGAACTATTACACGGTTAACTCTTCACAGCTGTTCTCAACCTGTGGGTTGCAACCCCTTTGGCAAACCTCTATCTCCAAAAATATTTACCGTATGACTCATAACAGTAGCAGAATTACAGTTATGAAATAGCAACGAAAATAATTTTGTGATTGGGGTCTCCACAACACGAGGAATTGTATTAAAGGGTCCCAGTATTAGAAAGGTTGAGAACTACTTGGTACCTGAAGGTGAGTCACGTCTGTCTGCCCCAGCAAGGTGGGCTCCCTCAGTTTCAGTCACCCAGATCAGCACTGGCTGCCCCAGGCCAGACCAAAGCGTAGCCAGCGGTCAAGTCCAGCCCAGGGCACAGGGCGCTGAGTGGCGCTCAGCCGGGAGCGGGAGCGGTGACCCTGGCTGGCGCGTGGGCAGGTGTTCCGGCACTTGGCGGCAGCGCCCCTAAGAGATCACGGCTCCACCGCCGGCCGCGGGCGCAGTGAACGCGGGCTCTGGCGCGCGCACACACCGCCCCCCCCCCCGCCCCCGGGCAGCCCACTGCGCCCGCCCTGAGGGCGCGTTCCTTCGGGGCGCGCTCAGGCCAGGCCCGCCTCCCCTGGTTTTCGCTTTCGCTTTGCAGCTTCTCTGGAGAGAAACAAAGGGGCTGCGACGACTGGAGATGCGGCAGCGGTGAGGGGAGCGCAGCAGCCTGAACCCCGGGCCCGCAGGCAAGGTAAGCGCAGCCCCGGCCGCTCGCGGGCTCCTCCTTGCGGAACAGGCGACAAGCTCCGGGTCCACGCGGGTCACAGGGACGCCTGGCGCGGGGCGGGGAGGGCCCAAAGCATGGCACGGCTGGGGTTCGAGTGGCTCAGAACTACCAGGTCAGGCTGGAGGAGCCAGAAGTCTCAGACCTGGGATATAGCAGTCCGCGGTTTTCACCACCCTCTCTCTCTCTCTCTCCCTCCCTCTCTCTCTCTCTCTCTCCCTCCCTCTCTCTCTCTCCCTCCCTCCCTCCCTCCCTCTCTCTCTCTCTCTCCCTCTCTCCCTTTCTCTCTCTATAAACCGTCCACCCTTACCTGTCAGCCTCAGCCACTTCTTAGTTGTCAAGGTTTGTGCACCTGTCCTGCCTTCTGAGTGTTACCAGACCCAGAGAACTCAGCCCACCTTTCTTGATCATAGGCATTAGGACCAGGCCAGAACCAAGGCCTCTTCCAGTGTCCTTCCCCTATGTGAAGTCTGAGGTTTGTTCTGAAGGGGCCGCAAGCCCACACCAGCAAAGATGCCCAGGGATGGTTGCACTCAGATATGGAGAGAGCCCTCCCGGACAACGAATCAGTCTCCTGCCTCCCAACAGAAGGATAAAAAATAGGGCTGCCTTGCTTGCCTTTGATGAGGTCTACACACTTAGGTGTGAGAACTGCACACCACCCCGAGCTCTGGAGACAGCCTCTGCCCTCAGGGCATCCACCATTCCTGCAGGAAAAATTGCACGGATGTGCTTTGGCAGAGAACACATTCAACCCCAGCACTCTAGAGGCAGAGGGATGGCTGAGTTCCAGGCCAGCCTGGTCTACACAGCAAGTTCCAGGTCTCAGCCAAGGCTACACAGTGAGACCCTGTTGTACAGTAGAGATGAAACAGATGGCACAGTGCTGAGAGCTGAAAGTAAAGTGACCGAGTCTTCGGATGCTTGCTTACACTTGACTGACAACATTCTGCCTGGCCTGTGGAGCAAGAACCCCCTTGTAGTCAGCTTTTTGTCCCCACAGGAGTTAATTCCACCTGGTCTCAGATCTGATCCAAGGTCCACGGCTGAAACAAAACTGATCTTTAATAAGAAAGGGTCTGGATTTCAGAAAGTGACCAGATGTCCTAATCTTATAAAACGTGACTCTCCCCTGGGCTTCATCCTAGGCTGGTACGAGTGGATCTTGCTTTTAGCACATTCTGTTTCATAAGCCATAGTAATGGGTTTCCATCTCCTGCTTTGTGGCTTGTTTCCACAAGCTGCGCCTTTTCTCCAGGACTCCTCTGAGCAACAACCATGGAAAATAAGTAAAAATCCCCAATATTGCTTTCTAATTAGAACAAAATGTATCCAATATGGTGGCTACACCATCTGGACTTGGGCCACTGAAAGGGGGGAGATGGAGGGGGCACAAAAGCTTGTCCTAATTCTGTCTGCAAACGCTTTCGGTTTTGCTTTTGATTGTGGATGGATCTTTATCAAATGCTTATTCTGTGTTTGGCAAGGTGATTATGTGATCACCTATTCCTGCCAGTTTATAAAAACATTAAATCAGGCAGCGTTTCCTATTTTCTATATGCAGACACAGCCCATTTAGGATGGAAGTTGGTAGAATACTCTTGTAAACCTTCTGGGCCCAGAAGTACGGGAAGAGATTTTGAATCATATAAAGTAATGTCTGTGTTAAAGGGGGGTTTATTGGAGTGGCTTACAGCTTGTGTTCCATGTCAACAATAACTGTTCAGTCCATGAGGTTGGATGTCTCTGATGTCTCAGTCGAGTACTGACTCCCAGAGGATTCCCAAAGGGCTTCTCGTCTTCAGTTAATGTTGGAATCCTGAAAAAGTAGGTTCAATGCCTCAGGAACAAAACTGATGGACCATCCCAGGACAGTGAGGGCAAGTAGGCAAAGGCAAAAGCTTCCTCCTTCCATGTCTTTTTAAAGGAGCTGCCACCAAAAGGTGTGGCCTTAGATATCACAATCAAGAAAATCCTCACAGGCATGCCCAGCTGATTCCAGATCTAGTCAAGTTGACAACCAAGACTGGCCATTAAGCAATGCACTTTTAGTTGATGAGCCTTCACTCATCTGTGTGACACTTTTATAACTTTTACAGTGTCGGTTGTATTTTTTAATTTCCTCCTTTTCTACATAGACTGTTTTCAAGTTACTTTTATGTGTGTGTTGGGGTGGGGTGCATGTGCATCTTCAGCACAAATGAAGTTCAGAGAACGACTTAGCAGTTGAGTCTCTCCTTCCTGAGTGTGGCTTCCTGGGATTGAACTCAAGTCATCAGCTTGATGGCAAGCACCCTTCTCTCTGCCCTGCTAAGCCTCTTTTTTTTATTGTTTTTTGTTGGGGGGGTAGTTTTTGGTTTTGGTTGATTGGTTGGTTTAGTTTTCTCCCTTCCTCCATCCCTCCCTCCTTCCCTCTCTCCCTCCCTTCCTATTTTGTGACTGCTCTATCTGTATGTACACCTTTATGTCAGAAGAGGGCGTCAGATCCTACTATAGATGGTTGTGAGCCACCATGTGGTTGCTAGGAATTGAACTCAAGACCTCTGGAAGAGCAGCCAGTGCTCTTAACTGCTGAGCCATCTCACCAGCCCTTGTTTTGGAGTTTTCTGAAACAGGATCTCACTATGTAGCTCTGGTTGTCCTAGAACTCACTCTGTAGACCAGGCTGGCCTCAAACTCGTAGAAATCTGCCTTCCTGTACCTCCCAAGTGCTGGGATTAGGTGGGCATCACCATACCTGGCTCCTAAGCCTCTTTGAAAAAAAAATCTTCTGTTGGTCATTTGCCATCAGTCTTCCTAAAGCATTGTCCTCTATAGCTTCTATCGTGCTGATTCAGCTTTTATACTTAGTGTTCATTTCTCTGTATTTTGTTGGTTACATGCATTTTGTAATACCCTCAAACAGTTCACATGTTCGTGAGCTAGAAAATTCATTCCTGCCTCCTGTGAAACAATCTCTGTAGGCAAACAAGGTTATGGTGTTGGCACCTTTTTTTGGTGGGGGGGACCCGTTCCTATCTCTTACAAACACTTTTCTACAACTTTCCAAAGTATGTAAGTTATGGGCCTCTGTTTGTATTGCATACACATACACATATCTCCATATAAATCAACTCCCCTAGTTTATCCAGTTTCTAACCATGAAAATTATGCTGAAAGCCCTGGACTTTTGAGTGGGGGGATTTAATTCATCTCTATTTATATTGTTCAGTATAGATGTAGTCTTAGTTCTATCATTTTGTTTGCCACATATTTATTGTGAGTTGTTCCCCTCCCACTCCTGTTTTGTGTTTGAGATAGGGTCTCATGTAGCCCAGGCTAGCCTCAAACTCTCTATGTAGCCAAGGATGACCTTGAATTCCTGATGCTCTGTCTCTAACTCTTCAGAGCTAGGATTCAGATATCCACTTTCTTCATTATTTTTTTTTCTTTTTAAAGGGGATTCACTTTTACTTATCTGTGTATTTGTATGCCTGTGTATGCTTATGCAGCCATGAGTGCCTTTGGAGGCTGAAGAGACTGTTGGGTGCCTGGGAGCTGGAGCTACAGGTGGCTGTGAACCAGCTGCTGCAGATGCTGGCGTCAGAGCTCTAGCCTTATGCCAGAGCGACAGGAACTCTTCACACTAAGCCCCACATGCTTTTGCTTTTCTTTAATGAAATGGGGGCCTTGCTCAGACTGTCCTCTCAACCCTTCTGCCTTAGCCCGTGGTCTCCAGTAGCTAGGCACTACAGGCCTGTACCACCATGCCTGGCTTTCCTGCCCTCCTTTTGAACAGAAATATATATATGTGTGTGTGTGTGTGTGTGTGTATAATTTTTGATGGGTATGTGTGTAAGCCTGAGTGTACATATACCACATGCATGCAGGAAACATGTAGAGATCAGAGGAGGGTATCAGATCCCCTAGAACTGGGGTTATAGGTGATTGTGAGCTGCAGGGTGGGTGCTGGGACTCAAATCCAAGTCTTCTGCAAGAGCAGCAGAACTCTTAACCATCTCTCCAACTCCTGCCATTCCGTCTTAAACTATTTTCCTATCAGTGGCAAAAATTACTTCCTTTTAAACACGAAACCTTTTAACATGTTTTTAATTTTATTACATTTATTTGTGTGTGTGCATATGTGTACTGTGCATATATGTGGAGATCAGAGGATAACATGGAAGCCAGTTCTCTTCTTCCACCATGTGGGTTCCAGGAATTAAAATCAAGTCATCAGGCCTGGTGACAGGTGCTCTTACCCAACTAGTTGTCTCACTAGCTCCCTGGTACCTTCTGAACATGTTTTTTGATATTTTTCTCCCAACTTTCCCCAGCATTCCTACAGACACTGTCTGCCCAGAAGTATCATGTACAAGTTTCCTATGTTATTAGATTCTTCTTGCTTTGTTTCAAAGCCCCGATTTATTTTTCTGCTTTGGAGATCTTAACCATTGAACTCATCTGTACCCTGTTCATGCAGTCGTGGCCTGAAGCGGGATGGGAGGGTTCAAATATGTTTAAGAGTTTTCCTTGGCTCTCTGAAAGTGCACAGTGAAGTGTGTGTGCAGAGTGATGCTTCCCAGGGGCCCACGTTTCTCCACAGTGCACTTTGGAGTCCCTGCTATGCTGATCCTCAGCTGACCTTTCCTGGCACAAAGACGGTCTGGAATATTTGCAAATGCTGAAGTCACTTCCTCATGTTTTGCAGAGTTTACTTTAGCTCAGTTAAACCAAACCCACTGTTGGTTTGTGTAAACTTCCCTGTATCTGAAGGTTCCTCTACCAACCCTGCCCTAGAATCCGAGACTGGCTGGAGGAACATGAAATTTGAATTGAACTGCTAAGGACTAGTGATGTGGCTCAGTTGGTAGAGTGCTTACCCAGCATGCACTGGGCCCTGGTGTTCATCCCCAGCACTGCACCAAACCCCGGGTTTTAGGGGAGGGGTGCTGGAGAGATGGCTCATCCACTAAGAGTACCTACTGTGCAGTTATGGGGATGGAACTTAGGTCCCCGCTCCCGCACATGCCGGGTGTCCCATGTCTACTTGTAAACTTAGCTTTGAGGGGAGTGGAGACAGGACCACTGGGGCATTGCTGCCTTCTAGCCTAACAGAGAAAAAAATGCCAGCCCCAGCTCAGATAGAGACCCTGTCTCAAAGTAATGAACAGAAAATGATAAAGGGGGGCCCTTGATACCCTGTCCTGGCCTCTGCGTGCACCCAGTCATGTGTGCATACATACAGATGTATAGACAAATTTAATTTTTAAAAAAGTGTGGTGGCAGACCCCTAGAATCCCCAAGTGTGAGAAGTAGGAGCAGGAAGATCAGAAGTTCAAGGTTGTTCCTGGCTGCATGATGAGTTTGAGGCCAGCCTTGTTTCAAAAACCAATGGGCAAAAAAAAAAAAAAAAAACCAATGGGCTGGAGAGATGGCTCATTAATTAAGAGCACTGACTGCTCTTCCATTCCAAGCACACTCGTGGTGACTAACAGCTACCTGTAACTCTAGTTCCAGGAAATCAATGCCCTCTTTTGGCCTCTTTGGACACTGTATACGTGTGGTTTATAGACACACATGTAGGCAAAGCACCCATACCCATAAAATTAAAAACAAAACACCAAGACATCAGACCTGGGGCTGATGATTGAGTGGTTAAAAGTACTGGCTTACTCTTCAGAAGACCCAGGTTCAATTCCCAGCACCCACAGGGTGGCTCACAACTCTGTAACTCCAGTTCCAGTGGTTCCAGAGTTGGGGTTTTTTTTTTCTGGCCTGCACCTGCATCAGTCATACACATACATGCAAACAAAACATGTAAATTAACACACACACACACACACACAAGTTATGGTTCCCCTGCCCTGACAGCTGGCCAGATATCTTGCCATCTGCAGGCACACCTAGGTCTTTTTATACTTTGAGAATCCCGTTAGGCTCCTGTGACCTCTGCATGCCCCAGGAGGGCTGAAGGTGGAGTGGGGGTGAACTGCAGGGAAGCAGTCCACCTTCCTCATCCTCTCCCAGTCTGCTCGGGGTACCAGACTGACTTTTCACAGAAGACTGCTCTATAGCACATAGCCTCGTAACATCCTACTGTAATCACCCAAGGACCTGAGTTTGACCCCACATAGTAGAAAGAGAAACGCCTCCCCCAAGTTGTCCTCTGGCCTCTGCTCATGTGCTCATGCACACACTCGCACGAACACACACAGCACAGATTTACACAAGTCAGTGGCTTAAGACAAGACACACCTATTTTTTGAATGGCAGTAGCGCATTCCTTCAGGAAACTCTGGAGAGGAAATGTGATTATTTATGCTCCCCCTCTCAAGACCCCCCACTAGTCACACCTGCAGCACCCCCTTGCCCACGTGGGGGAACTTACACACAGCCTCAGGGAGTCAAACATCAGTCTTTAGGGGGACTGCCTTTCGTCTCACCACCTTTTGAAAACACACATCCAAGTACGTTACTCTTCCGCCCAGGCCCCTGAGAGGTGCTGTGGTTCACAGAGAACAAGGCTGCCATGGCTCCCGAGGCAGCAAGTGCCCTGGAAGCCTAGCCATGCCTCTTCTTAGCTTCACCCTGTCTCCACCCTGCTTCCTGTATGTGAGCCAGCCTGTTTACATAGCATGCTTCCTAAGGGCTGCTTCCTCCTGCAGAGGTCGTTCACCCCGCCCCATCCCCAGATGCTCTCACTCCTCGACTCAATTTAGATGATAATTGGGGTAATAGCAAATATTCCTGTGTTAATACTCTGAGGCAGAGAGCACAGTTAGTTGATTAATTAAATGTTTCTCATGTAACTAAAGATTCCACAGGAGCTAGGGCTATGTCTAATTCTTGCCCATGATTGTATCCCTAGCAAGGTACCTGGCATGCAGTTGTGAACAAGAAATGACATGGTCAGTGAGCTCTTGGAGACAAAGGAATACAAGAGTAAATATTTTTTGTTGTTGTCCTCATTGTTTACCTCCTTACTTTGCTTCTGTCCAGCATGTTTGCTTTGGGGTGTGTGTGTGTGTGTGTGTGTGTGTGTGTGTGTGTGTGTGTGTGTGTGTGTGTACAGGCACATGCATACATGCATACATACACATGGCATGGCGAATGTGTGAAGGTCAGAGGACAAGCTCAGTTGATGGTTCTCACCTTTCACCTTGCTGGAGGCAGGGTCTGTGTTTGCCTCTGTGCTGTGTACTCCTAGCTAGGCGACCTGCGAACTTGTGGTGAGTCTCCTGTCCCCACCTCCCACTTCCCCATGGGAGGGATTGGACCATAGGTGCGCACACTGCTCCACCTGCGTTTACATGAGTTCTGGGGATTCCAGCTCAGGTCTTATAACTTGCTTGTGTGCCAGCACTTACCCACTGAGCCCTTCTGCAGCATCAGCTCAGCATTTATCATCTTGCCTATATCACCTCCAGCAGTAGAGTGGGAGCCCCGAGAAGAGGCATGTGTGTGTGTGCAGCTGCCACCCCAAACACCACGGTAGTGCTGCATCCATGTCAATTTGGGAATTGCCTCCAGGAGGCTCAGCATCTGCAGGCTTTTTTTTTTTTTTTTTTTTTTTTTTTTGGTTTTTCGAGACAGGGTTTCTCTGTATTGTTTTGGAGGCTGTCCTGGAACTCCCTCTGTAGACCAGGCTGGCCTCGAACTCACAGAGATTCCCCCTGCCTATGCCTCCCCAGTGCTGGGATTAAAGGCATGGGCCACCAACGCCCTGCGTTCAGGTTTTCATTTTTTCACCAACCTCTTTGGAGTCAGGTGATGCTGCCTCTTCATTTTAATCACCCAGCCTAATTCTGCCAGCAGGCCAATTGCCAAGAACCTTAAAAAAAAAAAAAGTTCACTGGTTGCTATGAAGGTTTGAGAAATGAATAAAACCAAGCATATAGACTAGCTGCTGCCATTAAGAAATGTTTGGAGGGTCTGGGTGTAGTGGCTCTTGGGAAGTAGAGGCAGGTGGATCTCTGTGAGTTGGAGGCCAGCCTGATCTATACAATGATAGCCAGAACTGTGTAGAGAGACCCTATCTCAAAAAAAAAAAAAAGGCGGGGGAGGGGCATTTGAATGGATCCAGCAAGCTTGATCAATGGGTAAAGAACAATCTCAGTTCTGTCCCCAAGACCCACATAGTAGATTCCATGGTACACGCATGCCAATAAACTCTCTCTCTCTCTCTCTCTCTCTCTCTCAAATAAATAAATGTAATATTTTTAATGAATATATCTGCCAGATGTGGTGGCATATGCCTCTAGTCCTGGCATTTAGGCTGAAGCAGGGAGATCACAGGCTCCAGGCCAGCTTTGACTGTGTATCAAGGTCTCAAAAATAAAGGTTTAACAGCAGCTGGGTGTGGTGGCCCATGCCTTTAATCCCAGGAGGCTGATGCAGGAAGTTGAGGCCAACCTGGTCTACAAAGCAAGTTCTAGGCCAACCAGGGCTATACAGGCCAGCCTGTCTCAAAAACAAAAATAAGTAAAATAAAAGGGCAGGGAGGGAAGAAGGCAAAGGGCTTGCTTTGGGAGTGGCTTCTATGGGGTGCTCTGGGTCCTCGCTTAGTGTTTCTCTGTCTGACCTGCAGATGGCAGCATGTCCTGGGCCTCCTTGTGAGAGCAAGAGACTTGGACAGCTAAGAAAGAAAAAAATGGACTCCCTCCCCCTGAAGACATGCTGGAAAGCCAGCCATGAGTGAGGTGAGATTGAATTTTAGGCATTGATGTGAACCACATGTGTTCAATGTTCAGATTGTTGATATTCACAATTGGTTTACAAAAAACCCTAACTGTGAAACCAGTTATCCTTATGATGTTGCAGAGATGGAAGGGGCAAAGGGGTGCTTTCAGCACCTTTGCCAGTGAGGAAAGGCAAGTGTACCCCGGTAGCTCAGCAAGTTTGCGGTCTGTTGCAAGTCAGAGGTGACTGGTGCAGGGCTCTTTATTCCCTCCTCCAGCTGCTCTGTAGTGAAAAGCTTCTGCACCCAGATAAGCCTCTCTGCTGATACAGCAATCCAAATCATACCAAATTAGAAAAAGCCCACATTTAATGGATACAATGCTCCTGGGTGGCCTTCCAGCACCGTCCCCCCCCCCAGAGGAGATGGGAAATGGAGGCCAGAAAACCACAAGTCTATTTTCTGGGGGGCAGTTTAAATACCCTGTGGGAGTGGTCTTGAGCATCTCTGGGAGAGGGGGGTCATCATTTGGCAGCTTTCTGAGATGCAGCAGGATTTGGAGAGAGATAGGGGAGGGAGCTTTTGTGGAACTTCCTTCATGACATCGCAGACTGTTTGGGTAGATGGATGCCAGGGACTGGGGTGAAGCTTCCACCATAACATGTAGTGGTTCAGGGCCCACTGGGGACCTATCCTGGCCCATCAGATCCCAAGCTCTGTCAGCTCTCAGGCCAAATGTCTTCCTCTAATCACCACATCCACCACCCATTAGATGAATAGCTTTGCTTTACTTATCCTAAGACCTTATTGCATGCACTCACTTAAGGGGCTGGAGAGATGGAGGGGGGGGTTGAGAGCACTTCCTATTGTTTTAGAGGACCCAAGTTCTATTCCCAGCACCTACTTGACTCACAACCCACACCCACAACTCCAGCTCCAGAGAACGTGATGTGCTCTTCTGCCCTCTCCTGGCACCCACACACATGTGCGCACAGACATGTGCCCATGCACATGAACAAAAATAAATCTTTAAAGAAAAATGAGAGGGCATGGTGTATGATCTGTCTCGGATCCCGTTTTGTTAGTATTTCTATTGGAAAGTAGTTCTAAATGTTGTATTGGTGTTCAGAGCGCCACATCACTCCTCCCTCCCACCAAGGCTCTCCCTGAATTTCACCCGATGGGTTGGTGATGACCGTCCCTTAGCTGCAGCCCCTATAAGTCCCTACCTGAGAAGTAGCCTGTGACATCTGCAGGGACCTTGGTGGTTCTTGCCCCTCACCCCCAACCTGTGTCGGCTTTGCTCCGCGCTGTCTTTGGGGTTCATCATGTGGAATTTCAGACGGTCAGCTGGAATGTTAGATCCTAATTTTACCAAACACCATGCTTGAGTGAGAGTTTCTTATGGATGGAAGAAGGAGGTATTTTATAAGTCGAGTTTGCCTTGCTTTTTGCCTAAAGTATAATTTTTTAAATAGCAGATATTAGAGCTGGAGATGCAGCTCAGTGGTAGAGCTTTTGCCTAGCATATGCAAGGCCCTGGGTCCCATCCCCTGCACCACAACAATAATTAATAATCATATTGAATGAATGCTCCACCTCAAGCTCTTGAAAAGCTACAGAGCTCACATCTTATTGACACCTCTGGAGAGATTTGTGATGCCATTCTTCAGTTAGAAATACAGAAGCCGGGCTGGAGAGATGGCTCAGCCGTTAAAGGCTAGGCTCACAACCAAAAATATAAGAAATACAGAAGCCAGGGCTAGGGTGTCACTCAGGGGTAAGAGCAGAGCTTATCTATCATGCTTAAGACCCTGGGTTCCATCCCAGCACCTCAAAAGAGAAAGAAAATAGTAACAACAAATACAAAACCCAGAGAACTGTGACTTACAAAGCACGTTGGGAATGCCTAGGAAGACCCCGTTTTCTTGCCTGTTGTCAGAAACTGGGCTTGACCTTCAGTGGGTGGAAGATGCACCACATTTGTCCTCATATTAACCTGAAAAACAAAGTGAAATTAATGAGAAGAAAAAGTACAATCATAAAGAGTGGTGGAGAAAGCTTGTCTCAAGAAAGGAACAGAAAGAAAAAAGAAAAACAGCAAAACAAAAGTATAATCTTCAAACAATACCTAACTTTTAACTTCCTATCCATTGACACAATTCTCTGTCCTATTTCATTTAACTCAAATTATTGGAACACATTGGCCAAATTTGCCTGACATGTGATTCAGATGTTACTGGTCAAGGCCTGGAGTTGTAGCACAAGTGGCAGGATGGGATGCTTGGCTAGAGCTTTCAAGATATTCCATCCTCAGCACCACAAGTGAACACACAGATAAATAAATTACAGTTGGAGGGCCGATGGTATAGCTAGGTGGTAAAACGTGTCTGATTAAGACCGTGAGTTCCATCCTATACATACACACACACACACACACACACACACACCACAAACCAACAAAATTCTATTTTTAACGATGCATCGTTCTTCACTGTAATTCATTTGAAGGATTTACAGTCCCAAAAACTAGAAAAGTTTTTAAAGCCTGAGAAGCCAAGTCTTCCCAAACATGCCCAGCTAACTGCTCTGTGGCCTCCAGGACACAAAAATGGAAAACAAATAAACAAAACACATGCACACGCACAGTTGTAATAAAATAAATAAATAAATACATAAGCATAAATAAAAGCATGGGTCTTGAGGTTGTCCTGGATAGAATGGGCAGTTGTTATAAGTGGGGGCTCAACCAAGGACTTTTCCAGGCATACTGGACAGGTGAGTAGGAGCACTGAAGGCCTGGTCCAGAGGGAGGAGAGGGGCAGTAGGAGAATCTGAGGAGGCATCTTCCCCAGAGTCTGTTGAGTGGCCACCGGACACTCTGTTCCCCGAGCCTGGCTGCTGCCTGCTGCTGGGGTGATTGAAACTCTCCCTGCAGCCTCTGCTTCCGTGGGCCTGAGTTCAGTTACTCAACCCCTGACCTTAGAAAGCCCTGGGACTGAGCTGCTGCTTTTGAGTAAAACACAGACACAGTCATGCAGCATTTCCGGCTAGGTTGTTTTTTCAGTCAACAGTCATCAGTTGTCAGTTGAACTGTTTTCCTTCCTGCCGACCTTAAGTGAGACTACTTGTGACTTCTCCATGCTGTGTTTTTAGGGAGCTCCTCCATTGGTCTGGTCTGGTCTGGGTTGGAAATAGAAATGTTTCACACACACACACACAGACCAAACATACAGAAAAGAGTTTTGTCTCCAAGTTTCTTTTCCTTTGCCTGGAAAACAGAGGGAATATTAGGGTCACTCCTAAATTCTAACTTGTAACTTCAAGTGGGTTAGTTTGGTTTTGGTTTTTGGATTTTTGTTTGGTTGGTTGGTTGGTTGGTTTTGGTTTTCAAGACAGGGTTTCTCTGTAGCTTTGGAGCCTGTCCTAGAACTCGCTCTGTAGACAAACCTGGGCTCAAACTCATAGAGATTCACCTGCCTCTGCATCCCTAGTGCTGGGATTAAAGGTGTGCACCGCTGCTGCCATCCGGCAGTATTTGTATTTTTTAAAATTTTTTTGTGGGCAGAGTAGGTGGAGGTCAGAGGACAATTTATAAGAGTTCATTGTGTCCTTCCATTTTGGGGGTCCTGGGGATTAAATTCATGTTTGGCAGCAAGCACATTTGCCCTCTGAACCACTCACCAGCTAGCATTTTTATTTTATTTTATTTTATTTTGCAGTGCTGAGAACTAAACCCAGAGCCTCAAGCATGTTAAGGAAGTGCTCTGTAGGTTGGACAGTAGTGACACACACCTTTAATCCCAGCACTTGGGAAGCAGAGGCAAGCGGATCTCTGAGTTCGAGGCCAGCCTGGTCTACAGAGTTCCAGGACAGGTTCCAAAGACACAGAGAAACCCTGTCTCAAAAAAACTTTATAAAAAAAAATAAAGGAAAGAAAGAAGAAAGTGCTCTGTACCAAGCTATTGCTGGACCCATACATTATATTTTAGATACCTAAGAGAAAGGACAGTTGCCCCCAAGGATCTTTATTCCTGGGACTGGCGGTCTGCCATGGTTGGTAGACTGCTTGCCTAGTGTACCTGAGGCCCTGGGTTCATCCCTAACTGCATAAGACTCAGTATGGTAGTGTTCACTCTGTGCAGCACTGGGAAGGTGGCAGCAGGAGCCTAGTGTACCTGAGGCCGCTGGGTTCATCCCTAACTGCATAAGACTCAGTGTGGTAGTGTTCACTCTGTGCAGCACTGGGAAGGTGGCAGCAGGAGGATCAGGATCAGGACTTCAAGGTCATCTGAAGGTACATACTGAGTTTGGGGCCCCCCTGAGATGCATGAGGTCTCCAAGAAATGATAATTAAATTAAAACAACAGCAAAATTTGTTCCTGCCTCTTACTAACACAGAATTCACACACACACACACACACACACACACACACACACACACACACACACACACACACACACCCTAAAAAGCCTAGGCAGGGAAGGCTTTGTAAGACCTGCCTGGGGGCTCTAGTAAATTCCAGCTGGAGGAAAGAAGCCGGTATCTGTCTTAGCAGCTCAGGTGTGAGGAGGAAGTGGGTATCTAGAGCTATTACACTACATAGGTTGGTTGGGCAGGTTTTGGTGGGTTTGTGAGTTTGAGTTTGATGAGAGAGAGAGAGACTAGAACAGGGGGACCACTTAGAGATTAAAGGGGGAACTTTTACACCTGGAAAAAGCAATGCTTTCTTTTCAAACAACTCCCTAAGGTTACATGCCAGCTGGACTTGGATCTGGCACACTCCGGAGTCACACAAGCTGTCTTCTGCTATCTGCAGCTCCAGGCTGACTTTGCATGCAACCAGGTCCCCATCCAGTCATGACCTCATGTGATCTTTAGTCTCTGCATGGCTGCATTTGCCTATCGCCATCACTCCCCAAGCTGAATGGGGTGAAAGGGGATTTGAGATAAGTCACTTCTCGGTCTGTTGTTGGCACTGGGAAATCCAGGTGTCCACACTCTGTGTAGAGGACATCACA